ATTAAAACCCTTTTGCCCGGTTTTGGGGAGATGAAAAAAAGTTTAATTTAAAAAAATCCCCAAAAAAAAAAAAAAAAAAAAAAAAAAAAGTATTGTGAAGTATATAGTGAATAAGCAAGAAATGAGATAAGTAAGTGAATTGTATTTTCATTGCACCTTTAATGACTGTCACCAAAATATAGTGCTTTATAAAGACAAATCATAAAAAAATAAAACGATTAAAAAGCACAAGAAAATGGCACATTTTGTAAACAAACAAACATGGTAGACCTGGCCACAAAAAAGCTTGCAAAATAATATTTTATTGAATATTTGAAATGCTATTTTATTTACTTGTGTTTGTCCTCTTACGGCACCAACAGTACAGTACCTCACTTTGCCTTTTAACTTGACGGCTTTCTGTTCTCTCGCGGCACCGGTAGAGACTCTTCCTGTTAGAGTAAAACGCCACTCCGGTGTGTTAGCGGTTTCTCTGAAGGTCGTCTGGCTAACTGTGAGTATATCGAAAATGTGTTTATTAAATACTTTTCTTTGTTTCGAGTTTATACCAAATTGCCCTTAACAACGAGGCCAAACGTAAAGATTGTTCAGGCTTTAATTTCATTTAGCTGCTCTTTCCTCCTTGACGAGGTTGAGTTAGCCGTTAGCTTATTTTGACCTAGCTGTTATTAGCTTCTCTTCCATCAGCTAAGTGCTAACCAAAAAAGTGCTTTGAAAATAAAACAACACTGTTTATTTGCTTACTTAATGTTTATACATGCATATCAACGAGACATTTCCAAATAACACGGGCTTGGATTGATTAGAGTGAGCAAAGTCATTGTTTCTCCGCAAGCAACTATTAACACGATTAGCACGTCTCAGTCAGATCCGATGAGTTTCACTATATTTTTTTAAGTACTTTTTTGAATGCAGTGGTTGGATAATTTTTATTTTTGAGTAATTTGCTCAATATACTTGTTGAAAATTATATTAGTTTCTAGTTTAAAAACGGCGTTCCAGATGTCAGTTGACGTATTAAGAGTGCTGACCTGACTTGGCAACAGTGCATAATGGCGATCTGCATAAAGTTAACATATTTAACAATCACTTCGTTTTTATAAAGGTGATTTCTCATCCAAATAAATTACTAAACCATGAATTATGGGGAGCTCATTCCAAGTAGTGTGTGAGATAACTTTTTTCTATCAATACCTAAACATTATCATCCAGTGTCATGTGTGGATCTAATATATCAGATGATTATTTGTAAATATATATATATATATATATATATATATATATATATATATATATGTGTGTTATGAGAAAAAGAAGACGTACTATGGCGGTTTGTAAAGTTAACATGTTACTTTCTGTGTCGGTTTTTTCTTTCTTCCAGCTGGTTAAACATGTCGCTGCAAAAGCCGATGATGAGAGGTTTGTTGGCGAAGCGCCTCAGGTTCCATCTGCCTATCGCTTTTGGAGTTGCTCTAGCAGTAGCTCTATCGTACAAGGTGAGACCAGGGGACATGTATGACCCAACTTTGACCAGTACTGTAATACAAACTATAATAAGAACAATTCAAAGTGTTCCATATGCACATATGGTGTCTCCTAAAAGGAGGCAAATATGTCTATATATTTGGTGAGTTCAAGCCCTGCACAAAAACCAAACCAAAATGTTTGTTTTCCTGGAATCATAAAAGCATGTAAATTCAAAAGGTTTATAAATCATTCATTCATGAGTTAACATTTGCAAAACATAGTAAAGGTTGGCTCATGTTTTCAAACTAAAAGCAAATTTGCATTCATTTAAAACATTTAAGCTGAATAATTGGGAATGCTTTATGTGGGTGAGAATGTGTTTATTTCAACCATACAAATAATTGTTATAAACTGTAATAGTTTGAGGGGAATAATCAGCAGCAATAACTTAAATTTTTAAACATCTTTACTTGCAAATCATTAGATATAACATGTCTATAGCAGAAAAAAATAACATTAATCTTTTCTTAAAATGTGCAGCTTTCTTTTTTGTGAGAACCCAGTAGAGCTTTCTACCATCATTGTCTTATTTAAGCAGCCTCTTAACCTTTTAATATATGGAAAAGCTCATAGTTTAACAATTGAGTATAAAACTCATTATTTGTGTCCATGGAACTTGCTGTTGAGAGGTAGCAGTAAAAGCTTGCTGTCTGTGCAAAGTGATCTTTTTTCTTTTGCCTCAGTAGGGAGCAGTTTGATGGAGTCTTTGTGTTGGACACATTGTCTGTCACAGTTTTACATCTGTAAGCCCATTGACTTTGTAGCTTTCAATCTCAAAATTAGACTTTCAACAAAAGAAAATGTTACAACTTGCAAAACATTTATTAGTTATTTTGTCTGTGTAATATAGAAGTTTAGGTCTTACATGTGGAATTAAATTGTGCATTGTATTTTCTGCCCAACAGATGTCTTATTTTAGCAGATGTTTAGCCTAAATCCTGCACTTTACCTTCCAGTTCTGGGGATTTATTTCCTAGTTCAGATTATATAGAAAAAAACAATTGAAATTCTATGTTTACTACAGTTTGGAGTGACTGAGCCCAGGAAGAGGGCATATGCTAATTTCTACAAGCAGTATGATGCTGTCAAAGAGTTCAATGCCATGAGAGAAGCGGGGGTCTTCGAGAGTGTGCGTCCTTCTGGAAAGTAATACTTATGTGAGTCTTAATATTGAAAATGAATTTTATGCCTTGTACCACAAGCAATATGTTTAATGCTGATACAATATTCTCATAATTGAAACTAGCTGTATCTAATAGTTATGCATATCCTTCTTCCAGCTTCACCGTCCCGTCATTCATTCCTGGCCTGAAGATGGTTTCCCTTTGATGCTTACTGATTACAGATGAACACTGTTCTGCCGTTTGTTCCTCAAAATAAACTATTCTATTAATGAAATGTTGTCTTTGTGCTTTACTTATTGAAAAAAATATATATATTTTCGCAGATCAAAGTGCTGCCAAGATAACGTATTTATTACGTAGTATTTGCACAATTATACTATACATGAAATGAAATGAAATTTTATTCGAACATGATACAAATACAAATATAAAAAATAAAATAGTGCACAGTAACAAGAAGTGCATAAAAAAGAAGAGAAAATACAGATTTTTTGTTTCAGTTAACATATACATGAGAAACCTTGCAGCTAAGCTGCAGGTCTAAATGTATATGTTTTATGTGTAACTGTTGCCCCCTGTTGTTGAAACTCTGCATTGCACTCTTTGTTTGCGCCGCCTTCGCCTTCCTGTCCACTCCTCTCAGCACTTCCTGGTTTTCTCAGGTGGATGTTAGAGCGGCTGCCAAACAAGTCTAAAGTTGCCTAGGGACAGGGAAAGGATGTACCTAGCGGCGAGGATACCACAGCCTGACTAAACGTTTTGTATCGTGTGAGCCCAGCCTTACAGAATGGTAAAGCAACGCGGTGTTTTTTACGGCAACCGAGCAGCAGCGGGAGGATCGTCACCCGGGACGCTGCTGTGAAACGGCGCGTTAGCTGCCGCCGCTAGCAGACTAGCAGACGGCGACCTGCTACTGCTAGCATCTACTTGACGTTGACCAGCTCGGTTCAAGTTTGACTCCAGACCTGAATCAGAAGAGTCCGAGGAAACTGGAGGAGGCAACATGGAGAACAAGGAGAAAGTGCAGATGAGGAATAACCCTCGCAGGTAAAGCCAATAACAGCTTAAACATATGGCGTATCTATAATTTTTATCTTTCTAAGCGTTAGCCTGGTGTTATGCTGAAGTTAAGAGCTGGGTCAGATATCAATTGCCAAATACCCACCCACAGACACTTGGTGAGTAAGTTGTATTTCATAATGTAAAATGAAAATTTTCAGCTCCTTTAGGACTTGGTGTAATATCAAAAAACATATTTTTTGTTTTTAGTTCAAATTTTCTGGTGCATTTATAATTACTCAGTTGTCCTCTATGCAAAAATTCATTGATTTAAATCACTATTCCTTTGGTATTTTTCTACCAGCCTGGCCATGAGCTGCTGTTGATTTTTTTTATTTAATTTAGTTTAAATTCTCTGATTAGTTTTCTGTTTAGAAAATAGACTGACAAATTTAAACGAGCCAATAATTATAATTGTATTCTTTTGTCACATAAAGAAGACTTGTAGAATTTTTCATTTTCTCATTTTAATCGGGAATATATTCACAGTACTCTGCTTGAACTGGCTTAGAAACCTTGTTATGATCTTTGTCTTAAGTCTCAGAGCTTGCTGCTATCAGAAGCCCTTTAATCCAGTTTAATCACCTAACTCTATTTGGATCTTTTCCTAGCTGCCTTAATCCACACTGGTTTAAGAGAATCAATTTATTTGCTCTGTAATTTGAAACTTGATGTGAGAAATCTAATGCATGTCAGGCATAAGATGACATAAAACTGGTTTTGTGGCAGGAAATGGGGCCAGCAGGTGCTGTTTATTTATATAGAGGGTTAAAGTTTGTCATCTCTGCTGGTTTTGAATTCCTGTTGGGACTTCATTTTTTGTTGCACTTTTTAAATGCTGCTTCTTGTATTAACTCTTATGCCACTCTTGCCTCTAACTTCCAGAGTTTTACAAACCATACCATTAAACAATCCCACAAACTTTAAGAGGTTGACCAGTTCTGTGCTTAAGAGAAAGTCTTGTTTTAGACAAATCCTTGCTCCAACAAACAACAGATGTAATCATCTCCTCAGCATAGATGCACTTTCTCACCACCCATTTATTTGACTCAGGTGTATTAAAGCACAGAAAAGTCTCAGACATGAGGAACATCAACACTGGAGGAATGGGACATCTCATTCTGACTCTAGATAGTCTTCTGTCATTATTCCATATTTTAAATATTTAGAAATGAAATGTTGACTACCATCAGGATAATTATTTTATCTTATGTGCTGCTGTAATGCATGATCTGGTAACTCTTTTTTTCTTTTTTACTGTATAATTTTTAATTACTTTGGATTGGGGCTCTCAGATTATCATCTGGAGTTCTTCTTGTGCTCCAACTGGATTATATCTGCTAGCAGCATTGGAGCTTTGCCACTGCTTTCTCTCAGACTTAACTGTTTTTAGCTCCTACAGCTGAACTGTTGTTAGGTATATTAGTTCAGGTATCTGAATAAGACATATTTACATATTTTGTAAATATGTTACCATGCAACTTCATTTTGGAAATCCAATTTTTAAAAATGTTGACCTGTTTAAATGTGCACAACTTACAAACCTTTAGTTTGTATTAGTGCATGTACAGTAGATCTTTGGTTTCACTCCTTTCAGTGATGTCACTGTGAAAAAGAGATGGTATTTGCTGCTGCAGCTTCCTTCACATCTGACATGTGACAGACTAACTGTGCTCAGATTATTTCTCTCAAGACTGAACTATATGAAGCGGCTAATAATCCAGCTGAAATTTTCCAAAGCGAAGTTTATAAGCTGATGAACAACTTTCATCCACTCAAATAGTTGTAGTCACATTTATTAGCCAAACTGAGTCACACTTATTTAGTTATTACTGCGTTATTTGTAGTTGGCCTGGTTGATATTTCCTCTTTTCAACAGCTGACCCTGGCAGGCTTATGCTGCTGTTACCCAAGTAGTATTGCTGTTAATATAAATATTGTGCAACCAACCTATTAGCATGATCAGAAGATTAACAACTGAGTCAATGTGTGAACGTAGCTGTTAATCTGTATTGTTTGCTGCCTGTGTGTACATGTGGGTTGGTGGTTTTGGTTCTGTTGGCCTGTCTGGTACTTTTGCCACTGGTATGGTCACATGAGTTTAATAGTGACTAACTCACAGATACCAATAAAAACACAACTCTGGCTCCCATTTTTGAGCCTCCTAGGAATGCAAATGTCTCAGTGAGCAGCTCAGATTTGCAGAAAAGTGTCTTTGTAGTTTGAAGCAGAAGTCAGCCTCCTTTACTTGATCTCCCTTAACGTTTATTTATAAAAGCATTCAGTATTATTAGAAGTTAACAGAACCAAAAACAAGACCCTTATGGGTTCAGAGTATTCCACCCTAGGGTTAGAAATAATGTTAAGCTAATGTTATTCCTTTAAAAGCTATCTTGATACAAGCAGCAGACTAACGGGGTTTATGCAGTTTCTGTTTGCGTTTTTATGCTATTCAGCAGTGTTTAAACCAAGGCGGTGACTTTTGACAAAACTGTGTGGAGCTGAAGTGTTCCTTTCTTTTAACAACACACCATTTTTGTTGATGCATTAATTTGTTTAGAACAGGAACCAGTTTTTAGCTTAGTTTGCTGAGTATGTTTGGCAGTAGGAACTGAGGAGTTCCTATTCTGCTCACTTATCAGGATGATGCCCGTAAAAACCCGCAGCTCTCTTGTTATCAAGTCCACTCTGTCATCAGCTGTTTCCTCATCCAGTCAATGCAAGAGTGGCGTTGGAAGTAACACGTTTTACATGTATTAGCTTGAAGTTTGTGAAGTTATTCAGCAATTATGAATCTGTTTGACAAGAGTAAACAAGAACTAGAAAAATCAAATTGTAAAGCTAAATAGCAATTGCAGTCTCCAGTTTGCACAAAATGTTTGACAAAACAATAATCAAAAAAAAAATATTTGCTTAAAGTGTTTGATTTATTATATTCCTGATGTAATAGTCCAGGATCTGCACCAGTGCATATGAATGTTTTACCTTAAAAAGCAACATTGATTGTTGGACTAAAAGACTTTATGCCTGATTGACATTATGGGATGTCATTTTTCACAATGTCAATGATTAAGTTTGCCAGGGTTCTAAATTTCAGAATTCTATACATGTTAAAAGGTCCAGGGGAGCCACACGGTTCAGTGGTGGAGCAGATGCTCCATATGCAGAAGCTCCAGTCTTCAATGCATTCGTCCTCAGTTCGGTCCCAGGCCCCTGGCCATCTGCTGCTTCTCTTCCCTTTCTCTCCCAGCCACTGGAGAAACAAAACCTTTAAAAATATCACCTGTCCATAACCCCCATTCTAGGTGTCAAGTTTCGTCTTAAATGCTCAGGTTAGTTTGTGTTTCCATCCACTTTTTGTTCTGGATTAACTCATTTGCTCTGTGAATTGTAGTTCATGAAGTGTTATTATGCTGGGATAAAACTACAAGGCCCATAATTCAGGGCACCATGAACCACTTTGGGAGGATTTTATTACCATATATTTAGCCTTTCTCAAAATGCATAAACAAATGTTTATTGAATCCAACAGAAATCCAGTTTAAAATTAGTAGTAAAACATTTTTTCTGGTTGGTTTTTATTTGGGAGAACATGAACAAGGTGTGGCTGAAGCGGCATGGCCCATTTAGTGTTTTTAGTATTTTTAGGAGGAAAATGCACATGACTGAAGAGTGAGGGGGGATGTTTTAAATGTAGAAAAATAAACATTTAGTGTCCCCTCTCTTCTCAGTGGGAGTTCACTGGGTTCGCTTGAAAAGCAGATTATGATTTTCTTGTGGGCTTCTGTTTCTCTGTTGCATTTGGCTTAGAGTTCATACAGCAGCTCGACCTCAGCCTGGAATGGGTTTCATAAAGTATGAATTATGGTGCAGAGGTTTCATAGAACAACCAAATGCGTACTGAGCAATGATCTCTCTTTAATCAGAGAGTTTTGTAGCTTATGATATTTTTTTTAAAAAGGACTATTTTGGAACAAGTATAAAACACTGCAATTCTTCAAAAATATACATTGATGTTTTGGTCTCACAATCTTGGTTTAGAGTCTCCAAAAACAGTGAAGGTAAAACTAGCAGTGGCTGATTAATCCCCAACACACCGGACTGCTGAGGCTGGTGGAATGCATTGAGTTAAGCAGGTGGTCTAATCCGCCCACATCAACATCACAGGAGCCCCGACTCAGCATCTTGGCACTGATTTTAATTTGATACTTCCTCCTGCCTCTCTGCTTTATCTGAAAATCGACTCGTCATAGTCTGTGTCTTGGAAGTGTTCAGATCTATTTTAGTCTCTAAGCTGAGGATATTTTTATCTCGGATAAAGAGTTTTCAGAAATCTGCCAGAAGGACAACTGAATCTTTATTTAACTTTGATTGTGCTTATAATGATTTCTTGAGCGTTGATTGTTTTCTTGGAGATATGAAGCACCAAACTCTCCTCTGAAGGTCTTTAGTTTGAAAATGTCTGATTTCTGAGTGAAGCAGATTCTTGACCATAGATTCGGAAACATTTCTGTTTTTGTTGGGTAGCAACTAAAATTTAAAAGAATGACAAATTTTTAAAATAATTATTTAGAGATATTTGTGACAACTTGGATTTCTGATTCTTTAACACCATTTTTATCTTGTATTTTAGGACTAAGGAACAATTTACAAATATTGTATTGCCATGCTGAAGGCATTCCCCAGTTGCTGCCCTGCTTTGATTGTTTGGCTCTAACCTCCCAGCAGCAGCAGCTCTTCACCAGCATCTATCTCCCACTTGTCCTTACAGACAGCTGAAGAAGTTGAGTGAGGACAGTCTCACCAAGCAGCCTGAGGAAGTCTTTGATGTCCTAGAGAAGCTGGGTGAAGGGTGAGTCACATAGTAAGATGATAACTGATTACACAGGCCTGATAAATGATACTGTCTGGATGCCTAAATCTGCCTGCATTTAAAAGGGATCTAAGGTCTTCTGGCAATCTGCTTTGGTTTCCTTTTTTCTTTTATACTTTCTCTGTTAGTCACGCCATCCCACTTGAGGTCTGTCAGTGTTTCTGCCTCATTTATTTCTCCCTCCTCGTTTGCCAGAAAGCTCCTCCCTTCTGTTGTGCCTGTCAGTCTAAACAGCGCCTCTTCATATCCTGTTTCTCAACGCTCTTCCTGTTTTCAGCTGATCAACGCCATTTATGCATGTGTCACAACTGATGCCAGTCGTGTCATCAGGGAGGGGCAGAAGTGAATGAATCTCCACGTAATCCAGTTTTTATTTAGTGTCCCGTTTCCTCATGTCTTTTAATAAATCAATCATTAATAGCACCGGTGTTGAGGTGACTTAGGTTCATCTGGGGTGTGTTTGTGCTTTTGCTTTTGAAATATTTTCCATCAGTTAAGAAGGTGACAAAAAAGACAACAAAAACACCCATGTTTGAAGCGATGTGGGAAATAATGCAGTTCAGCCGGGTCCTTGAAAGTGACAGATGTTGACAACTGATAGTTTAGTTCCTCCTACCTAAAAGGCAAAGCACAGCAAAAATTTTAGCAGCAGAACACACTAATAAACACAAAAATGTCTGTACTGACTGATGCCTTTAGCTGCTCTAAATGCCATGACAACTTTTTCTGAACCAAATTCTGAGGTTTTCATATTAAAAAAAGATGGAGGGATTAATCAGATTGTATCATCTGATGTTGTAGGATGATTTGAAAGTGTTGTTTACTGCCTGAGAATGTGGGTTTACTTGTCCAGCTACTTATTTAAAGGTCTTTACAGATAAGAGCAACAAAGGAAATGTCCTGAATAAAGTCTTTGTTTGCAGGTCATATGGTTGTGTATTTAAGGCCAACCACAAAGAAACAGGAGAGATTGTAGCCATCAAACAAGTTCCTGTAGAGTCTGATCTTCAGGAGATCCTCAAAGAAATCACCATCATGCAGCAATGCAACAGGTACGCATACAATGGATTGTGTGTTTCACTGAATTAGTAACAGCATCACCTCTGTGATGTAGAGATACTTAATGAGATGTCCTGTTTAGATAAGACACTTAGATGATAGTCTGTATGTATAAACAAAAGTCTGACAGCCACATCTCTGTGTTCAGTCCCCATGTGGTGCGGTACTATGGCAGCTACTTCAAAAACCGTGACTTGTGGATCGTCATGGAATATTGTGGTGGTGGATCAGTGTCTGACATCGTCCGAATACGTAACAAGACGGTAATGTAACACTGAAGCGTTCACGCATACACACACACACAAACACACACACACCTGGGTTTTCTTTGTGCAACGAAAAGTGGGCAGTAGTCTGCATCAAGTATCGGAGAGTAAAGAATGGATGTTTCACACTGTTAGGATTTTAATGACTTAATTTAGAAAGATTTTTTTTTATCTCCTCAGAAGCCCATTTTAATATTTAAAGGGACGGTATTATATATTTTCCAGGTACATAATCAGTTGTTATAAAAATGTATATGTTGCAAAATTTGAGCTAGTTAAAGCAAAATTTATGTCACTTAAGGAGTTTTGGGTGTAACATATTTACGGATAAAAATGATTTTTAATCATAAATGAAAAGTAATTTTCATGTATTATAGAGTTTTGGCTTAGATACTGCCCTGTCTGTTTTCTTTTAGCAAATTTTTTTTTGAGTCTGTATATATCGGTTAAAAATTAATCAATTACTAAATTAGTTGATAATAATTAATTCATCACAATTAATCTAATTGTTTCAGGCCTGCTTGTAATCACTCTTTCTTTGTGTGTGTGTGTTTGTGTACTTATGCTTTATAGCTAACAGAAGATGAGATTGCCACTGTCCTCCATTCAACTTTGAAGGGTCTGGAGTATCTTCATTTCATGAGGAAAATCCACAGAGACATCAAAGCAGGCAACATCCTGCTGAACACAGAAGGTCAAGCCAAACTGGCTGACTTTGGAGTTGCTGGACAGCTAACAGTAAGCAGAAGCCCAAAATCATAATCAAATTAATCATATATTTAACATTAGTTGAAAAAATTTATAAAGAAAATTAGACAAAATAAAAAATAAGTTGTTTAAATAGAAAAATGCTTGTAGGGTTAGGGCAATAGTGTATAGCTTAAAACTATTTATATGATATGTAATTAGACATAATGTATTTGGACATCATAGGTGATTATGATTCTTGCTCTGATGTCACTGAACTTATTTAAATAATGTATTATTTTAATTTTACTGTAAATCTTTTCTATCTTGTTTTTGTCCTCCGTAGGACACCATGGCAAAGCGAAACACAGTCATCGGCACGCCGTTCTGGATGGCTCCAGAGGTCATACAGGAGATTGGCTACAACTGTGTGGCTGACATCTGGTCATTGGGAATTACAGCCATAGAGATGGCTGAGGGCAAACCACCCTATGCTGACATTCACCCAATGAGGGTGAGGGTCCGTTGGTTTTCTAAATGTGAAGGAGGAAAAAGTTTAAACCTACAGTAATAATTGGAACACAGGCATTTTTTAATATTTATTTTGCATTTGAACTTAGCATGAGGCTTTGAATAGATTTCTTAATACCTAACAGTCTTTCTTCTTTCAGGCCATCTTCATGATTCCCACCAATCCTCCACCAACGTTTCGAAATCCAGATCAGTGGTCACCAGGTTTTCTAGACTTTATCAAAAAGTGTTTGGTAAAAAACCCTGAAAACCGGGCAACAGCAACACAGCTGTTACAGGTAAAGTTATCTACTAATTGTTGCAGCATTCTAGGATCTGATGGAGTTATCCAAAGATATTGCATTGCTCATTAGCAGTAAAATGCATATTTGTCCTAGTTCTGATAATTTTCTTTCTGTTAAGTCATCTTGAAGTGGCTTAGTGAAATATGTTCAACCACTTTAGTTGCCCATATAATTTTGTATTTAACTTTTTGTAAATATTTTGTTTTGTGTAATCATGAATGTTTTCGTTAAACATCTTTAAGATTAAAAACAATGTATTTTTGCTTTCTACAATGACAATAAGTTCTTCCTATCCTTCAGGAAAACAAGCATTGGATGAATTTCAGACTTAATTATATGTTTTCGTCTTCGTTCCCCACAGCATCCTTTTATCAAATCAGCCAAACCCAATTCTGTCCTAAGAGCCTTGATACAAGATGCCATGGAGATCAAACTAAAGAGACAAGAGGAGGCGGAACAGAGAGAACAAGACGCTGAAGACGATAACAATTCGGTACAAGCTTTGGAAGAACTGGACTCTTTCTGTTTTTGCTTGATGGTTCTTTTAAATGCAGTAAAATGAACGTAGTTCCTGTTTATTTCAGGATGAGGATGAGGTTGACCAGGGGACGATGGTTCGGGCCGGAACAGGTGATTCTGGGACCGTCCGGGCGGCTGGTTCTTTAGCAGGATCGCTTAGCGGTACGATGATCGAACACGAGGACACAGGAACCATGCAGTCGCAGCTTGGCACCATGGTCATCAACTCTGATGATGAGGAAGAGTCCGGTACCATGAAAAGTAAGTTTCTCTAAGCAAGTTGTACTAACATACTTAAAATAGTTTTATTTGGTTTCACTGTTAATTAAAAAGAAAAGTTAGCATCTTTTGGAAATAATTTAAATTATACCATAATTTCATCAGTTAATCTAATCAAGAAACAAGGCAAAAAAATAAAATTATTTGAAATTTTTTCTTAAATCAGCACATATTCGCGTTCATAGAGATAGAGATACGAGTCCCTTTGCAGTACACTAAGGTCATTTATCCACCAGGGGGCGTAAAGTGCCCATGAACATGTTCCCAGTTGCTACTCTTCTTACAGGTAATTGGCCTATTATTGACATTTGCCACAAGACAATCTAATTACTTCTAAAAATTTTGGTTATGTTTTATTCACAAAGAAATGGCTTCCAGAATGATAATGATCCTGAAGGTTACTGTACTCTGTACTAGAGCTTTAGTGCTTTTTAGTTGTTAATGTTGTTTTTTTAAGTGCTTCTTTTTTTTATTTTACTAACTATAAAAACATGTTTTCTCTGGAACCTGAACCTTTATTTTTTTTGTTAACTTTTACTATTCCAGTCAGACTTGAACAAAGTTAGTTAAACACAAGAATATTGCATTCCAGCCTTTAAATGATCAAATTTCTTTTTATCCTAACATGTTCCGCCTGGATTACTGTATTTGGAGTCTGCGGTGTGGGAGTGGGAAGCATTAGATCTCTTGGGTACTTTTGGCAAGGAGGCTTTATAAGAGTTGCATTCTGTTTGTGTGTGCTGGGAGCTTGTGGGTGGACTTTTCATTTGTTTTTTATAGGCATAAAATTAACCCCAATGAGAGCATTGCACATGTGAATGTGTGCAGTTTGACTAACCTTGACTGGAGCAATGCAGGCTGTTGTCTTAAAAGCTCAGGTGTAAAGAAAAAAAAAACATGTTATTGTAGAACTTAATGCTGTGATACAACAACCTCCTACACTACGTTCAATGAGACTTTTTTTATAATCCAGAGAAGCTTTGTAGCACTTACCATCATAAACAGAAATGTGCTTCATTTGGGTGAGTTGCAGAACCCCTCAGAAATGTTCAGAGGTGTTATGAGTCAATAACAGATAAACCCACCTCTCTAAAAATATTAATAAAGTCAGCTTTGACATCAGGACACGCATTATAGTCATGGTTAATGTGATTAAAAAAAAAACATTTTTTTATAAGAATTTCTATCAGAGTTCCTGTGCAGTCTTAAAGGCATTGAATTTTATTTCAGTACATTACTGAAATGGATATATGTAAAAAATTAAATGGAATATATACAAAAACATTTGTGTTCCAAGAGCTAATTCCTTGTTGTATTGTTTAAAAGTTTTGCCCTTTTTTTTCTCCCTTGTGCTTTTATTTTTTCTCCTTATTTAAATTTTAAAGTGAAAACAGATTTTTACAAAGTAAGTTTAATGAATTTAAAAGCTATTACATATTCTTGCCCTTTTACAGGGACTCGTCTAATTTAATACAGGTCTATTAAATTAATGACAGCAGTGTCACACTTGGTGAAACAGGCACTACCTGAGAATAACTGATGTGTATGAAGTGGTTGTGAAAACATCAGTTTATAATTTATCAGTATTGCTGCTCGACCATGGAGACAGAATGGAAAGCATGGTAGTGGTAGCATCATCCTCTGGGGCTTCTTCTCAGCTGATGTCCCTGAAAGGCTTGTAAAGATGATCACAGAAAAATATGACCAAATCCTAGAGGATAAACATGTGCATTTCATGCTTTGTCCCCAAGCAAACTGGCAGTCAGAGCTTAAGCTGTTTTGTGGAGGAATGGAGAAAAAAAAAATGCAGTGTTCACAGGTGCAAAGTTGCTTGGGACATATCTACACCAAGTACTTTAACACAAACCAGAAATGGTGAATATTCTTGCTGTCATTTAGTTATTTTTATATTCTTAATTAATGGATATTACTTTGTCAAAGTCTCTTTTATTCCTGTTTTATTTTGCACATTTTTTTTTCCCCAAAAACCAAGTTATTACATCAATATAATTTAATATCCAAGTGGTGGAGAATTTTTATAGGCACATAATACACGCTACTAATGCAAGATATTTTAGAAACAGTCATTTATGAGACCCAAATGTCAGTCCATTAAACACATGCCCATGTTTATTAAGGATTACCTCATCGAGGTTTCATGAACAATGACAAATCTTGAACTCACGCCAGCTCTACACACGCAAGCACACACACCAGCTTCTCCAATCTGATTTCTTACCATTGCGTTAGTATGGATCCCTTCTACTTGCACTTTAAGCTGCATTAACACAGGAACATCTAGGAAATCATCCATTCATCCATAAATGGATGGATCTAGAAAATCATAATTACATTAAAAGGCTACATGCTGCCGTTGTTTTACTGTGTACATCTATCTTTTTTGCGTCTGCAATCAAGGATGTTTCTTTATTTTATTTGTGTTAATGTTGTGTGTGCATTTGTCTCTGCCTGTTCACCAAACTAATGACTCTGATTTGATGGTGCCGGGCCCCGGAGGTTTTAGAGGATTAGATCAGAGATCGATTTTCCCCTAATAGTACTAAAAAATAAAAAGCCTTTTTATTTACACTGATTAGCTATTAACCCTCAGACTGATTCATAAAAAGTGTTTTGCCTCGTCATCCTCTAGGCTTGCTGCAAACCAGATTACCTCAAAATTAATTCCTAAAATCTGACATTCTTTTTTTCAAACTCAATAATTTTACGTTTTCATTAAGAAGAATAATAGCCAAGCAAACCCCAAAGGTGCTATTTTAGGTGCTATATGCTTTATAGTTTCAATTTAAATCTGTTTAAATACAAAACAATTTATTTAAATTATTTTTTTAGTTCAGTTTAGTGAAACTACAATTTAATCTAGTATATCCAGTTACATAAATGGACTTTATTCAATTTGACTCTAATCCGTCACAAATAATTGGATCAGTCTTCTGTCTCTTTATCATTTGCATCGGTCTCTCGAAAAGAGAATTAAATGGAGACAAATGATTTTCTGTGGCAGCCTTCAATGGAAATGCTGAAAGAGATCAATCTGTTGAAGACATGTACATTCATTATCTTGTTTTATGTCGAGACAAATGGCAATTGTGTAGCACAAGGCTAAATTGTATCTTAAAGCAGAAAAGTCATCTGTGATTTGTATTTTCATTTCAAATCTAAATCACAAGCCAGTGTAATCAACAAAAATCATTTTGTCTCGGTCAGCTTTATAGTCTGAATTATAAGAAGAAAAAAAAAGTTCAGTGTAGCTGTTATACTTTCATGGCATTAGCATTGCTAAATATTTTTCTTTTTTTCATAATCAAGATGGGCTCAAGCAAAAAGTCATTCCTGTATTTATATTCCTGTGTTATACAACGAATGTTGTAATACAGAGAAATTTTTTCCCCCAATTGGAGACCGAAAAGTTCAAGCAAAGTTTTGTAAAATTTTGGGATTAAAGGAATCAATGTCTTCCTTACAACAGAGCTCCCCTAAAATGTCTGTTTGCTTCCCAAATTTAATTCTGGTCTCAGACTTTTGTGGTTTTTATTGGGAAAAGTATATTTCTTGCAGATGCACCAATATGAAAATTTGGGTTAATATCAATATCCAACATTATATTTGCTATAGCCAAACATAAATATTTACCAGTATTACTCATATATTATATGTATATATTCCCCCGCTCTTTTAACACCTTGTAAAAAAAAAAGAAAATAAAACCACAATCATGCACTGCATCACTATCACATGCCCAAATAAATAAAACACAACCAATCCCCTCCCCTTCAGGACGCACACATAAACGACAACAAGATGGACATAAACATCGGTTAACAATTTTACTTATTGCTCCGATATCAGTATGTTGTTAAATGAAGAACATTGAACAGTACTGATGTTATTGCTGTTGTGTTGTACATCCAAAATGTTTCATCTTCAAATTGAAATTTGGATAGACGTTGTTTTTAGAATTATTCTTGGCTCATTCTGGCCTCATTCAAGCCCAATGTAACATGTGCTTTACATCAACATTTTGGACACACAGTTTGTTTCCAGGGCACTCAAAACAATTTTCATAGAACATTTTTTTAAGAAATATATGTTAAGTTATTATCATATACTTACTATTACTATGGTTTTATTGCCATAAAATTCTTAAATGTATGTAAAACAGCCTGTACAACTATTATGAATGTTCTTGTACAGAAACTGGTAAACACAAACTCCACAGTTAACTCAGTTGTTGCTGAAAATAACCCTGCCAATGCACCATGCAGGGGTTCTCATTAAAACGACTGTAAAGCATTATATGCTTCTCATCTCCAACAACTCCATGAAAGTTTAATGGGGTTAAATAAAAAGGTTGGCATGGACGATGGCAAAGTTTTCTATGGCTCTTATCTTGAAATGTTTCATTAAATGCTCTGAGGTAATTACAGTAGATGATGAACTTATTTTATAACGGCATGAAAGATGGACGAGTTTAGGGGTTTCTTTTATGTACAATAAAAGTGATCCATGTTGACATACTGTAACTATTGTCAGAAAAGGCTCAACAAACGAGCAGAAAGAGGGAAAAGTTTTTTTGCTGGTTTGGCACAGCATTGTGCCAGTCTTTGAAAACCATTTTGTTGTACATGATTGCTCTAAATCACTTTGATTCTGCACCATTTTCTCACCAGAGTTCTTCAGTCATTTTGATGTTTTTGCTAGAGGAATCTTCTCCTTATGTCTCCACTGTTCCAAGTTTTCCTCATAGTATCAGTAATAAGACCCAAACTTCTCTGTAAAACTTTAAAAGGAAAGGATGCATTTAATACTGCTCACTAATTTGCTTCCCTCCACATTCAGTTGGCACAGAGAGGCAACAAAGCACAGCAGGTCACACTTTATAGGGCTAGGAAGCTGCGACTGAAAATATTTTGGACCAGTCAGATAATTGCTGAAGTTACCAAACAGCAGCAGATGGTGAACTAAAGTTAAAAAGATATTAGATCATAATTTTTTTACAGGGCTGACCTTCAGTTATCTGATTGTTTTAGGTGGGTGGGTGGCATCTCCATATCGGGAAAACTATGGAAAGCTTCCTTAACTTAGGACTTTTTTAAGCTCAGTGTCTGAGAATAAGTGAGAGAAGCTCTTGTCAGACAGCACAAGACCTCAGATGTTTTTTTGTTTTATATCCACATGAAAAACAGGCTTTGGATATATTTGGCAATAATATTGACTTTGTTCTGTTATATATTGAGCTGCTGTTATTAGTTCCTGACAGAACTGAGGATTTACAATTTTATAAAGCAGCAAAAGTTTAAAGAAATTTTAAATTATGCCAGTTTAAATGCACTGTTGGTAGTCTCTTCTAGAATATTAGAGTTCCTCACCAATGGCTTTACAAATTAATTGCTGACAGATGCATAAAATGTTACAATACCTGTTTCAGCAAGTTGCAAAAAGTAGACATAGCCCCTTATAAGTCAATCTCCTTTTTTGTTTTGTTCATGTGGTATCTAGGGTTTTAGGGGATGCATTTGATTTTGTTCCAAAATAAAGTTTTAATTTTGTCTTGAATGTTTCATAAATGTTTGTAGTGTGGTTTTGCACACCTGAGTTTAGATTACATTAAGATTAATCATATACTGTATATGGTCTTTTTATTTCAGCTGTGTATGGTGACTCTTTGATATTTCTATCACTTTGAAAATAGTTGTTCAGGTTCAAATGGGATTGCTTTTAGCGTAATGAAAGAATCTTTGCAACGTTGTTTTCTGATAACACATATTCAGCAGACGCATTTTAAAAGCACCAGGTTGCTTAGTTGTATTTGTACTGTGAATATTTATTTAATACATTTAAATTAGACTTGACTGCCACTGTGTGATAAAGGACTGGCATTTCCCATAATGATAAAGTGCAACCTGGAGTAAACAAGAGATTCTTCAGAATTTATTTTAGATTCAATCAGCAGAATGCCTCGATGTATTATTGTTAGTCTTGTAATTAAAAGCTGAGCATCTTTCCGGGCCATGAGCTAGTTGAGTGTTGAATCATTAAAATGACTGAATTAAGATTATGGCTTTCAAAGTACTAATTTTCCATTTCTTTAATTGCAGTATTGATCACAAATCTGGTTAAATGCACATTAAACTACCTGCAATTGTGAGTTTTTATGTTTTCCTGGTCTTCCCAGTGGGATAATTCTATGTTGAAAGGTTTATAATAAATCATGCTTTTGTGAAATTAAATATTTAATTAAGTCAAAAGGATTTCCAATGAAAACTCCAAATTAGTTTTCACACCATTCACACTGTGGCTGTTGTTTCTTTTTGATGATTGCAGGCTGTGGGAGTTTTCCCTCGATAACACCACAGCTTATTAAAGCCATGAATCCAACTCTGAACTACACTCACTGATTTGCTCCACTGGTGCACTCACATGAGTAAAATTTGTGACACACAGTTAGTGTAGCTGTTTCAACTCCCATACAACCACAGAAACTTATATAGATGCATCCGTGTTGGTTAATATATTATACAACGCATGATTACATGGGATTCATCCCATTTGCACACTTTTATGCAAGTTCAAATCAAATTTTATTGACATTTACACTTATTCAGACTTATTTTTCTCCCCACATAAGTGTGTTTTTTTTTTTTTTTTGTTTGTTTGTTTTGTTTTGTTTTTTGCTTCCATCTTATAGTTACTTTTTTGGAAAAAAAATAAATAAATAATGCATTGCTTTAAAATGCACACATCACCACAATATGTACAACCTACAGGCATTAAAATAGGCACCAATCAATGTTGGCCATTATTTAACATATTGATATTATCAAGCAATGTTCTGTCTTCTTTTTTGTTTGTTTTTGTTCACAACTGTTCAGTTGCTATGTGTGCGTTGCAAAAATTAGATTATTAATAATAAAATGCTATAACTAGCTGGCTTTTCTATCCTGCAGTTCATTCATGGACATACTATGGATTTATTAGTTTTATCTGGTTTACACTGACAGGATATTTTTTTTATTGAAGCAGTGATTTGTTTGTTCAACATAATTGTTGTTTTTAAAGCTTAAAGGTTTGGTTTTCCCCCACATTATCACATTTGTCGTGATACTTTATGGTTCAGTTTATTGCTGCTTTAATAATTTAGCATCTAATTGATCCCTGTGAAGGTAAATTGTCATAAGTAGGAGCATTAATGCTGGCTTGGTGAGCAGTAACCTGCAGCAGTTCCCTTAATCAAGAGATTAGGGGAATTGCATACAAGAGTTATGCATGCACTTAAAAGTATCAAAACTGTGAGCATTGTGCTGGCCTCATTTGTACGCCGATTCCAGCTCTAGGATGTAACTGTATAGTGTTTTATTTTATGTTTTATTATTTTTGTATATCCATGAATAAGCGTGTTTTTCTACATGATTGGGGCGATTAAACTTGGTGAAAAGTATTAATTTAATCAAGTTTAATAACATGAGCTGATGTAGGATAATCATCCTACATTAAAAACAATACAATGTAGAAAATTACTTAAGTGGATGCTATGTTCTGTGATAAAAAAATAACTTAATAAATAAACCTATAGTCAAATAAATTGTTTTATAACAGAAACGTTGCTATAATCATTAAGATTTAAAAAATAATTATTGGAGCAGAGTGAAAGTCTCAATCATTCTGTTTGAGACAATACAGAAAAGTATTGTCTTATTTCACTGCATCCAGATATCCCAAATTCACCTACTGTTAAATCCACTCTTACTTCACAACAATGTGATTTTTTTTATTTTTTTTTTTGCCTTGTTCAGCAACAGTAACCACATCTTATGATTGAATTAGCATCTGAGCTTTAAGTTTGAATCAAATCCTCTTAAACCAGTTCTGTTGCCTAATGTAACCTTTTTTTTTTTTTTTTTCTTTTCCAGATTTCCATTATGCTAATGATGCAAACCAGAAAGCATGTGTTGAAATGTGCTACACAGTTAAATAAATGTTGTCTTGGTTGTGTGCCGTGCAGGGAGAGACGAGACGATGCAGCCAGCCAAACCGTCCTTCCTGGAGTACTTTGAGCAGAAAGAGAAGGAGGTAAACAATCACATTGATGGAGGACGCCGTGGAGAAAACAACGCAGACAACCGCAAACTCCCTGGTGAAGGAGATCTTGAAGTGGTAAGTATGAAACTGATTCTTCAAACTGCTGAGAGAGAAGGGGGATAAACATGGTGTTTGTTGTAACTTTATCAAGCACTCGGTGTCCTGTGGGGCAGCGGTGTTCTCCAGCTGATGGGTATCTGGTTGTGCTTTTACGATGCTGTAACTCAGTCTAGGAGGAATTCAAAAAGTGCAATCTGCTCCATTTTTGGAAGTTTTTTGCTTCCACAACTTGCTGTGTGTCTGCACTGAATTCACAAAGCATATTACACCAAATGCAGGAGCAAACATACCCATCAAAATGAAGGGAATTATTTTTGCATCTCAAGAAATTTGCTCAGGTTGTAATTGTCAAAAATACCAATAAATGTGCACAGGCATTCCTTTACACAATACCTCATTTAAATGTGGGCAAGCTTTATGTGCAGAGAAACATCTTTTATAAGCAGATCTACATTTCTGCCCAGTTACAGAAATAAACACATGTGCTATCTCACTTTTACTACTCACCCATATGTTTGCAGATATTCCCAACAGTATTGGGAAACTTTTAAGTTACATCTGTGGTTCGGTATAGCGTGAAACATATCCTGAGGTCCAACACCAGCTGTATGTGCCTCATATCCAGTCACCCAGTACTTCGTTTGTGCTTTTGATTCTAGACTTTAAACCGAACATCTGCTTCAGCGCTCATTAACTCGTTCTGCCTTTGGATGGCCTCTCACTGGGTCCAATTAATGAAAGCAATATGTTGGAGTTAATCTGATTAAGACTGCAAATAAATTTACTACAATACAAACAGCAGTTTCATAGAATGCCAGTTTTCTTAGAGAAATGTTCACATTTTAATTACAGTATCACATCCTGTTGGTGTTTTCTCTGGCACCAGACAAAACAAACAGCTTTAGGCTTACTTAAAAAAAAAAAAAAAATGTTAGAAAAGAGCTTTTAGTTTGGTTGTTAAGCTCCGTGCTTAGAGATTCAATACGACTTTGGATGGTAGGAGGATGCATTAGATTGTAAAACTGCTGTGACTCATTACTCTTTTCTGCAAAATATAAAGATAAGTTGAGTAATCTATTTGCTACACATGTAAGGAATAAAATGTGAATATTGTTTTATTATTATTATTATTATTATTATTATTATTATTATTATTATTATTATGATATAAACAAAGCCTCTGTCAGATACTCTTTGCATTAAGTAGGAAATCGTCCCAATAATTTATAGACATTTTTATTATATTTTGTATCTTATAAACAACTTACTGTCCCAGGAAAAAAAAAATATGTAGTTGGCATTGGGAAAAAATCAGAGGACCTAACATTTTTTCACAATTTTTTACAAACATTCCTGACAGCTTCTTAATTTTTATCAGCT